TTGCATTCAAAATTAGTGCTGTAACTTCTCTTTTTTTTTTTTTTTTTTTTGCCTGACTTGTGTTTTAAAAATGGTGGTTAAAACTGCTAATCATATTGGCAGACAGGTACAGATACGTGGACCACTGAAAAGCTTCAGAACTATATGGTTGGTTTATTTTTTTTCTTTGCTAGAAAGGGGGAGGCCTTTTCTAGAAAGGGGGTGCATATGCCTCATCTTGCTTTTGCAATATAAAAATAGCACCAGTCTTATGAGCAAGTGTCATTTTTGTGGAATAGGGAATAGAAGGTCATCATTTTGTAACATCCTTTTGTCTTAACAAATAACGCTCTTGCCTAAGACAGTCTTGCAACTTCTGTCATTGTAGGCTGTAGTTCATATATCTGTTGCTGATGCTGCTGAAGCCGTGTGTAAACACAAATTACTCTGTTGGTTCTAGTCTAGCATCTCTGATGACGTTTTGTCAGTGCTCTATCAAGCTGTTAATGACGTGAGCTTCTTGGTAGCTCTCTTCATGCTGTCCTGTTGACTTGAAAACAGTAAAATAGTCTGGTTTTCAGCAACTCTGTGTGCACTTGTCTTCATCTTGCATTTGCAACAGAGATGGAAAAAAGAGATTTGCGAGGATGAGCTTCATTTCAAATCTGCAGGGGTCTGTGGTGAAGCGGTAATATTTGATCCTTGGCCTCTGACGGGGCTGGGTTATAAAGAGAACAGTATAAGAAGCTAAGTTTCTCTTTTACGGCAAAATGCATCATTTTAGCATGCAAAACTTGTTCTTTGTTGCAAAGGCTTCCTTAAATTCTGTAGCAGTAAATAAACCATAAACACTGTTTTGAATAATGTCATATCCAAAGTATTTTAAGGAATTTGTCTTGGGAATCTGTAAGCTGAGAAGCATATTCCTAACAGCGTTCAAGTCCCAGCCTGCCTAGCCTGGCCAGCCAACTGAATGATAACAAAAAACTTGAACAGAAATCATGTTTGGCTTTCATTTGCGGGCTCCTGGAGCTCTTCCTGCTTAGGAATGGCGACTGTGAGTAGCACGGTAACTTTTAGGGCCTTTTTAAAGCGTTAAAGAAAAGCCAATTCTTTGGCTACTCAAAGAAGAGTAGATAAGAGGAAAAGCTCCCTTCTTCCTTGTTGCTTCTACCAAAAATAGAAATGTGAGTCACTTGAGTGCTGAAGCTTAGTAGTGTGGGTGTCTGCATATATTGTCACAATAACCTAATTTCTTAGTAATTTAAGACTAGCCAATCCCATAACAGTGGGAAGATGGGAGGAATGATCTAATAAGTCTCTCCAAGTCTTAACTTCCATGACTGACAAGTGGTAAAGCGAGCATCTGGGGCTTTTCTGAAGTGTGCTTCCCTTATTCTGGTTTGAGTGATACTCTATTTTTATATTGGGTGCCTTTGCCACTTTTTGTTTCTAAATTAAAAAATAAAGAAACAGTGTAACCCCCAAAAATAAAGGCCCATATTGCAAGGTGTTCTCAGTTGTTTTCAAACAGAATACTTGGACTTTAGGTTCCTAATTTCAAGCTGGCATACTCCTGATTTCAGGCACTTTTCTCATGCTTTCAGAAGGACATTAAAGTGCTTTACAGAAATGAATGGACAAAACATCATAATAAATTACCACACCAGAAAGTACAGGTGAAAATTGCTGACAAGTTTCTTTTGTCACTGTTGTAGTCTAAAGCTAGTTTGAAAACTGAGGCGTGGACTTGTTTTGGTGTTGAAACACTTGGCGTATTCATTCGATCTCATCCAGTGGACTGAAATGCTTAGCTCTAGGACCCCATAAATGTTAGTAGGATTCTGTGCTCTCTCTTATGGCTTTAGACCAAATTTGCTGTGGCAAGGAAAACTAACGTGCTAGGAACTGTGCCTGCCATAGTCCCTTCCCTAGACTCCACTGGTGCGGTTTCTGGATCTTAGGCCCTAAAGCCTGCAGATTTCCTTATGTCAGCATGTCCCCTTCAGCCTGTGGCATCTGCTAGGATAGTCATTAATTCAACCCTTCCTTTTTCTTTGGTTTTAGAAAACCAAACAAAACTCACTGTGGCCTCACTGGGACTGTTGGTAAATAGTACTTTTACTGTAGGAAAAAGCACAGCTGCGGGGTTAGGGTAATAATTCTGTAATTTTTTTTTTTTTTTTAAGTATCTGAGTTGTTTTCTGTCAGTGGCTCTTTGACAGCATGTCTGTCCCTTCTTAAAGTGAGCTGGGAGCTTCCCATGGAGGGAAGCATACCTATTATTGCAGCAATTCCCTCTTCTGGCAGCCCCTCCCCAGCTCTCTCGTACGTAAGAGCTTCCAAGCTGTAGCTGAACTGTCAAATTTGTGATCCCACTGGTAAACACTGGGATCAGTCAGATGGGAAACACTGGGCTCCAAAGCTGTTCCTGTAACCTGGAATTGAATGAGTACCAGTAATCTTCCTGTATCTTTGGGTTTGTTTGTTTGTTTTTTTCTTGTTTGTCTCGGGGGTTGCCATGACTGAGAACTTTGTATCTCTGTCAGTAATGACCGACTGTGTGGGGAATATCCCCATTACTGACGTTCCCTCGGTGTTGGTGTATTGTCTTGGCAGTATCTACGTTTTTAACTGGAGACACTAGAAGCAGCCCATGTCTTGGTCATGAGGTTAGCCCTGCAGAAAAGCTGTAGCGGTGCTACAGGAAACGTACTGTCTGCATTTTAGTGCATTAGGAATGCTCCGTTTGGGTTTGTTATAAGCTGCTGGTATTGACACAAGTAAAACTTTACAGTGCTCTTCAGTATAGAACAGTTTCAGCGTCCCTCTCCTTCACCTCTCCTGGAAATACAATATTGAGCTATAAAACTCTCACTGGAAAAATAATTATATGGATACACATTACAGCTACCAGAAAAAGATTAGTTCTCATCCTGTACAGTGGTGGTTTATGTAGAGAGAAGCGTTTCCGTTGTCATTTGCTGTCTGGTTATCCCAGTAAAGTAAGCTGCAAGAGGCAGCAGTTCATTAGTGCTGTGATTTCAACGCAGCGCACTCTTACGTATTCAACTGACGGAGAGAACTAAAGAATGATGCGCTGAGAAGGGAGGAGGTAAATTAATGTAGTTAATTTAAAAGCATCTATTTCGATATGTTTACTAATCTTTCTATGATTATGATATTCTTGTTACCACTCTCTGTGTGTTTACATATGTAAACAAGAACTTTTTGCACTTAATTTATTAAAAAAATCTTGGGCAGGATGAAGTTGTGCCTGTCTTTTGGGTTGGGGGAGTAGGTTTTTTGAGTATTTTGTTTTCTTCACTGTTTAGCTAACTAACTGTGGTATTGTTAGAACAGTCCCATATATCGGGTTTGTGACTCTGCTGTTAGTGACTATATGTAAAATTAGAGGGTTAATTTGTTTCCTTTCTATATTGAAGGGTGCAGAGATGGATCTTGTAGTAATTTTTCCGTTGTATGTGTGAGTTCAGTGAATAGGAACCCTAATGATCCTGCCAAACACACACCCACACACCTCAGACGATGCCGGTCTGTAAAGCAGAGGATGTGTGTGATGCCTTTTTTTGCTGCTCTTGCGTTTGGGTTGGTTGGGGGTTTTTGTGTTTGGGTGGTTGTTTTTTAAAGTGGCCCTACTTGGAATGAAACTCTTGAAGTATTAAAAAGGAATCTCCAATTGGCTGCATGATTTTTCCCAAATTGTGGAGTTTTTAAACTCATGCTGTTGTCAAGATCAAGTTTATTATATGTTTTTGTATTGTTATGCGAGAACATTGATTTTTGTTCCGTGTTGTAACAAAAAAAATGTCACCAATTGTATTATTTCTTCTGACATCTTAACCAAGATAGGAACGGTGGAAGGCACGTACTGAATGTTGCTCACTTGCTCTTCAGTGAGCATATGCAATTTTTTTATTTGAGCATCTGTTAAGCTGATGATAGTATGCAAACCACCAAGCCAGTTAGTTGTCTGTGCTGTGAGGACCATTGCTGGCTGTTTGTGAACCTTTAGCGCCCTTTTGCCAGCTTCTGAGCCATCGCTCCGCAGCAAACCAGTCCAGTCTTGTGTGCAGGAAACCATGGCTCACCTGGCTACGAGCAAATGGTTTGGAGACCTTATGTTAAGAGTGAAGGCTTCCTTCCCCCACCCACCCTGTGATTTTGGGGTATTGAGTTTGGGGAAGGGGTGCATTTAGACATAGCTCCTTTTTTACTTGGGGGGTTTAAATCGTTGCAGTCATTGCAGTGCATAAGAATAAAACCAGACTAATTTGAATATCACTGTTGCAGTACCTTGAAGATCTTAACTGGATTTTTGATAATAGTGCATATAAATTGTGTAGCAACTAATCTTCTGTCAGTCTGCCTCTAGCAACGGTAACGGCTTCTGACTTCACACTGGCATTTCTTTATATTAGTAACTGCGTTCACCCATTAGCGAGTAAAACAGGAGGACAGGATACTGGTAGTTCGATGGATTCCACTAAAAAGGCACATGCATAATTCTATATGTAAATGTAACTAAAATAATTTTCCAGAGTATTTTAATTTGGCTTCTAATCATTCCCTAGTTTAGACTTAAGCTATTGGCATGTAATTATTGGCATCCGACTCAGTAGGCTCTCATTAGAGCATTCTTAAAAACTATGTTTGAGAAGCTCTCTTCTGTGGAAGGATGAGCAATGGATCATACTTCATATAGTCGTAATCACGGTGTAAATTTGGGTCTAATAAGAAAGGAGGGTTTTGCTTCATAACGATGGTGGGGACCATACAAGTCGAAATGCAGGTTTCCTTCCCTCTGTAGTGCATGGCATAGGATACAGATGGGTTGGGAATTGCTCTCCTTTCCTTCCATTGTTTTCTTACCTGTCTAAAAAGAATAGTGAGAGCTTTCCACTTTCAATGGAGGCCAGCATAGAGGACAACTCCTCTAAATGGTTTTCACTTGCAAACACTAACAAAGCCTGCAAGTGGTCTTCAGCTTGAATTTAACAATGCGGTTATCCAGTAACGCTCTCTTAACCCTCTGGCTCTTGCTTAGTTCTTGAGTGTATCTCGCAATTACTATATATGTGTATATATATGTGCTTTTTACTACAGGATGCTTTGCATGTGGAATGGAAAATGGATTCCGAGTTTATAATGCAGATCCACTCAAAGAAAAAGAGAAACAAGGTAAAATGCTCACTTATTGTATCATGCTAGTTCTGTGTTGGAAGCTCAGCCTCCTCATTTTTTGATTTCTGTAAGATTCTTGCTTAGGTTTCACAGTGCCATCACTGGAAGGCTTTGAATAAAGCCTCAAGCGAGGAAGTCCATGCTGGTCCCAAAGGGACTCTCTCTTATGCCACTACCTGGTCAGGTGTTTATATGCTATTAATTTGCATAAAGCTGGCTGCTGATGAATGTGTCTCACCTTCTTGCAGAGGCTGAATTGCATTAGCTGTTGCTCATGTTTGTAGTCCTCAATGGGAAATAAGTTGCCTGGCTATTCACAAGTGGGAGAAGAGTTTCTCACTGCAGCGTTATTGTGTGCCATCAAGAGAAGTTGTTTGGTTCTTGTGCGCTCATCTGGGTGATCTAGTACAGCACTAAAACTGCTGTCTTCTTACTGGAGATCTGAACGTAACATTTCTCGTACTTGCTTAGAGTATGGCTTGCAAGAGCACTGTGAGCCCAGACCTCTAATACTCTAAATTTTATATTCTCTGTATGCTTAAAAAATTTGGGAGGATCTTAAGGCAGTAAACCTGGTATCATGTGTTAACAGAAATTGCTAGGTGAGCTATATTAACAGGTAGTGGGGCTTTGTATCAGACAGCAAACATAACTGAGTCAAAATAAAGGAAAATGAAACCTAGCTATGTGATTCTGACCCTAAATAGAGGAAGAAAGCTGCCATGCTAAACAGGTTTTCCAGCAGTTCCAGCCTGTGGTGACAGAAAGGATTTAATAAGAGGAAAAATGGATTTAAAATAGCAATTCCTATGAAACCAGGCATGCTTTCACTTTCTAGTGCTGTAAGAGATTTCAGTCACTGTTCATGTGGCCAAAGCCGACGAACTGTTTTCTGTTCTTAATACTAAATACTAAACATCTCTTGGCACTATCCGTGACAGCGTCCTACAAGGAGCAGAATTCAGGTTGAAGTCCTGTGGAGTTCCTTGTCAAAACTCTCCCTGCCAGTAGCTCTGGACATCCTCCCAGGACTCCCATGGTGAAACGTTTCTTAGGAGCCAGCTTGCCTTTCCCTTGTGGATTCTGAGAGGTCACACTGTCCGGCTGCATAGGTACACAGAGAAATCTCGTCCATCTTTCATGCTTGTTTAAACCTACCTGAGATAGTCCCAGATGGAGCTGTCTGTCTGATTTCTGTAACCTGGTATGAAACCAAGTCTTAACTGTTACACCCTGGCTTGGCGCTCTCATATCCCGGAGTTCCATGGAGTTCCCCAACCAAGCATCACCTGTCAGAACTGTAAAGATAAGGATTGAAGCGTCTGTTCTAGCATAGATTCAGAACACATTGCACGTTCTTAAATTATCTCGGGTTATCTTTCGTAAGTATTTTAAGACTTTTTGTCACGGTGATAATACCTCTTCATAACAAAATGTGCTGTCATGCTTTAAATGCTTTAATGGAGTTAAGAGGAGGCTCTGGTGCAGACGGAGGTGGTGTCCAAATACACTTGTTCAGGAAGGAAACTCGGCAGGCAAAAGCGTTGTTGAAGAAACCACAAGGACTTGCATGAAATCCAAGGCTTTACTGCTGCAGTAAGAGTATCTTTCCAGGCATCTACCTTCAGCGTTGTACGGTCAAGTCCCAACAGAAATTCCTCATTCCGATGTACTGCAGTGCTTCTTAACGTCTAATAAATCTCCCTTGTCCTATCCTTCTTGCATATGTCTGCCTCTTTCCATTGTAGTGCTTCCTCCCAGCTCCTCAGACATTTTTGCAGTTTTCTCCCATCCCTATTTCTGACAGCAGGTCTTTCTTGAGTTCTTGGGAAACTTCAACTTTTCCTCTAGCTTTGAAATGGCTTACTGGTTTCGTCCACCTTTCCTGCTGCAGCCTGCCAGGGTGCAGAGTTACTGGACAGCCTTTTAAAGGAAAAGTTTGTTTTTAACTCTGCTCATCTACCCCGAAGGCCACAGTTCTGGGCTCTCCTCCTGACAGTTCAGTTCCCTCTCCCCAGAGGAATGCC